AAAAGTCCCCGATCCTCTCTCCCCACCTATTCTCTTCAAATCCAAAAAATGCAGCTTTTGTCGTTGCTGTAGAAACAGATGCTTGGCAAATATGAAGTTGGATAGAAGGGCTGGTTTTGGCTGTAGGAACTGCCTTCAGCTCATTTTAGGGAGAGAAAGAGGAAAAAACAACACAGGCAGAAGGACCCACAAATCAGGAGCTGTATAGATTGTGTCTGTATCCATCTCATTAATACATTGGTTCATACTGGGTATAGCAAGGACCCTGGAGCTAGACTGCCTGGGTTCAAATGCTGCCTCTGCTGCTTACTGGCAGGTGACCTTGGGCAAATTATTTACTTCCTCTGTGCCTCACTTTCCTCATCTGTAAAGTAATAATGATAGTACTTTCCTTACAAGGTTGTTTTGAGGATTAAATGAATCAATACATATAAATCACTTAGAACAGCATTATCATCATCATCATCATCATCATCATCATTAATCTGCCCCTGAGTATTGGGCAGCACTTGGTGCTTCTGAGCTGAATGAGTCATGTGCCCACAGGAATGCCCTCGGCCTGTTAGTGACTCAGCTCATCTCCTGGGGTGGGTGTGGCTATGCCCTTGTCCTCAAGATGGTGCTTTTGGCCTATGGGCATTCCAGGCGGACATAGGGAAATTAGGCCCAGGTTGGTCTCCAAGGGCCACAGGTAGCCCCAGAGTGGGATTGCTGTGCCCCGGGCTTCCGATCTGTATGATTTGATGCCAATTGTCTACTTTTCCTATTACTTCCTCCAGTCGAATTCTTGACTGATGCCAATACCTTTGAATACCAGACTTCTATCTACCTATTTATTTTCTAGTTGAACAAACAAACTAGACTTTTTGTGGTCTCTCTACAACTTATTTTGTTTCTTCACACCTGCCTTGCCTCTGACAGCTCTTCTGGATTGAGGCCGAGCAGGAGCTGGGGCCAGAACTGAGGACCGAGCAGAGAGGCAGCCCTGACCTGCCAGGTCCCGGGTCTGATCTCCGCTCTTTCCATCGCACATACGAGCTTCCGAGGGACTCTTTAACTGTAGCAAAACCTTCCATATTCAGTGCCTGTGATAGAACATGATAGTGGTCACACCTATACCGTTCCCCTGCCTCCCTGTCCTCCTGCCCCACTGAGGATACCGGGCTCGGGGAGCTAGTTTGAGCCTCTCTGGCATGACAGTCGTGTTCCAAAGTCCTTTCTCCACCATGTCCTCCTTCCCTTTTTCCTGGTTTGGTTCATCCAGCTGGCAACACAAGGAGGTAGCCAGTTACGGTTCCCATGCCCCATGGCAGAACTCCTGGCATGCGGCTCAGGGTGAGGCTTCATTGGCCTTGTTTGTCCTTGAAAGTGCAGGATTCTGCTGGGATTTGTCTCTCTGGGAGCACTAACATCAGCTGAGGCTAGCAGGGTGATGTGGGGAAGCCCTCAGGCCGCTGCATTCCTGACGTCTTACCCATGCGTGGTCCAGGGACTGCAGAAACAAGGAACGATTGTCTTCTGTGGCACTGAGGGGCTTTCTCCCCAGCCTGGGATGCCTTGCGATGGGGGCTGGCTTCCATTCAGCCTTGCCTTCTCAGCCCCTCTGCATCTGGCTTCTGCTCCCAGGCTGGGTGTTAACTTGTGGCTACAGTCCCCTCCCTCACTTCTTTCTGAGGCCTAGGGGTCAAGGCCAGGCACACTAGGACAGGAATCTAAGTAGAGTCTGGGGCAAGGGTGGGAAAGGGCAGCAGGTGGTCTGGGGAAATACCTGAGGGGGTCTTTGGCAAGGATGACCAGGATAAGCTGAAACGGGTTTCTTCAAAGCCAGATGGAATTCTCCAAAGAAGGAAACGCTCAATAGTCTGTGCCCTCCAACTTGGTAGCCATTACCCACATGTGGCTATTGAGCACTTGAAATCTGACCAGTGTGACTGAGGAACTGAATTTTTAATTCTAATTTAATCAGAAGCAGTATTCCCATTGTTTCTCTTTATCTTCCATTTAAATAGCTACACACAGCTAACGGCTGCCGTGTTAAGTAGGCGCAGCTCTGGACAGCTCTCTGAGAAGAAATGGTGAAGTGCTCCTTAGGCTGTTCTCCTCTTGCAGTCCCCCTGGTGAGACTGGGATGGTGGCATTTTCCTTTCCTTTCATGAAAGAAGTCTTGCCCTCTCTGGCAAGTTCTACACTTCGCCAGCTCTGGAATCCTAATGCCCCAGAGGCAGCAGGTCCCTGGCCGTGCGCCACCACAACTGGGGCAGCGCTTCCCCACTCGCTGAGCATGTTTTCTGCCCAGCTCGGTAACACAGGTGCTCACACGCCCCAGTGGATTTGGCCGGGGCTGTTGGTGCGGAGGTGGTGGGCTGGTAGGAAAAGTCGAAGCTTTTACTTCTCCCTTCCTGCTTCTGTGGAAATTGGGTTTGTGCTTTATTTTTACTTGCAAGAGTTCCAAAGAGAGGCCCAATAGGGGCCTCCAGAGGTGAACACAGATCCTCAAACATTTATTGATGTTTGGAGGGACCTGAGGCTTATCTAAAGGAGACTCTGACTTTGAGAATAAGCAAGGACTACAATTCTCACCGTCTGGAAGACCTTATTGGTATTTTATTTAAATCAGCGCAGCTAACCCTTAAACTGGGTCTCCTTTTTTTTTCTTCTGTGGACATAGAGAATTGTTATTTATGTGAAAAAGAGAACAATGCTTCATTATGTTTATTCTCTCATGTCTGTCAGAGGGGGTGGGGATGGGAATATCGCCTGTGTGGTGCATTTTGTAGACTCAGAAATCACCCAAGTCTTGGTGGGATTTGGGGCAGGGGCCTGGAGAATTTTGGGAAACCCTCCTCAAGGCTGGTCCTTGGCTTTGGGCCATGTGGGAGCTTGAGGAAGCAGGAGCAGTTTGGAAATCCCCAGGGGCCATGAGGAAATCCCCAGCAGCTGAAGCATCCCCAGGGACCAGAAGGCCTACTGGAGCAGCCAGTCAGGTGACTCCTGAAGGCAGCCAGGCCCGGACTCTGAAGGGGCAGGCTCCTGGTCTTACCAGGGAAGCCAGCCCCCGTCCCTGCTGGGGCTCTGTGCCCGCGAGATGGTGTGGTGTCACCAGGCTATGAGCAGACAGGCGCTGGGGGAGTGAGCAGCCCTAAGCCTCAGTGATCGCCTCTCACGCAGTGACCTGGGGCTGGCCAACCCCTGTTCACTTACCCTCCTGCTTGTCCCAGACCTCTGCCCATCACACAGGTTCAAAGCGTCTCTGGAGTCTTAGGTTTATTCATGTAGTCATCCATTCATCCATTTTGTTTCATCAATAAGCATTTATTGAGTGCCTACTATATGAAGTGACTGTTTGGGGCTTTGGGGATGAAGCAATGATGAAAGCAAAGTTGGCACTGAGCTTATTCTTGCCTCTTCTTGCCCTATCCCTCCAGGGTAAGACCAGAGGCCATCTTACTCCGGCAGGGCCCCTCAGCCTGGAGTTCTCAGGGGGACGCCTCTTGGGGGTGGGGCCGGGAGGCCAGCCCTGCAGAGCGGAGGTGAAATCCTGTGGCCTGGGCCCGCCCTCTGCCGGGCTCCAGTGGTGCTGCAGGGTGGGTGCGTCCTGGGGCTCCCGCGCATGTGCAGAGCCTGGCCCGCCCGTAGCCCCGCCCCTGCGCAGGCCGCGCTGCGGGCTTGGAGCTGACTGGGCCCCCACCTGCCGTGACCTGTCCGGAGGTCCAGAGAGTCTGGGCCCAACCCTGGGCGTGCATCATTCACCCAGGGAGGCTGCCTCTTAGCCCTCCTTTCCCTCCCTGTGGCCATCCCTAGGCTTCTTCAAGGGGCTTAGCTGACCTTTTTCACTTCAGGATCCATTGGTCACAGTATCCACTGGTCATCTGGTCATCAATGGCCAAATTTTTTAAAAAGTTGGTACTTCAAAGAGTACCAGTCGCTGTCTGCTCGTATTTCTGCTAGTATGTCTGCTGGTATGAGAAACTGGTATTTCATAAAAGAGAAGACATGTCACACACCAAAAAAGATAACCCTTTCCAAGAAAGGGAACGCACTGGTGCTGAGGCACCGAGCGAGTGCATCTGTCAGTTAGGTGGGGGGATCCCCTCCTAACCCGGGACGCGTTAGTGCCCCAGCCCGCCTCAGCCCTGAGAGCTGAGTGCTTGAAACAGGGCACCCCCCACAACTTCCCTAAAGAGTTCCGTTAGTGATATTTCATACATTACAAATTAGTAATAAAGTACCATACAATTAGTGCACACTTACGGAACCAGTGTTTATAGCCCATTTTTTAAAAAGGAGTTTTGATTTAACAGGGAACTAGGGAGACAAATGGGGTCAGAGGAGTACTCTTTTTTAAGATGTTAATTAGAACCTCAGCTTCAATGTTTTCTAAACTATCTCCCTCTAAACCAGCCTCAAGGAGCTCAGGGTCTGGTGGTGAGGAGGCTCAAAAAGAAGCCAGCACTGTGCTTCCCCACAGTGTTCACCTTGAGGTATTACATGTCACTGCCCGTTGAAGAAGTCAAAGACTTCCTTTACTTCTCAGAGCCTCCTGTCTAGCCTGCCCCCAACTCTGCCTAGCCCCTCCGCCTGGCCCAGTGCAGGAGACAGAGCCAGGGACCTTTCCCTCACCCCACACCACCGACCTGGGAGGACAGAGGAGTTGAAGTTGTTGGTCCATCTGGATATCCCTTTGCCCCCATTCTGTTCCACCCGGCTTATTGTACCTGTGCCTTTCAGATCAGTTAGTTAAACCCAGTGGAAATATATTGGACACCTACCATGTGCCTAATGCTGGGGAGTGGGTTGAAACCTAAAAGAAGTAGGAAATGGGCTCTGCTGTCCAGGGAGAGAAGGCATAAAACACACGACACAAATAGGTGACTGTCCAAACATTAGTTATGCTGTGCAGTCGTGGCATATACACATTAAACTTCAATGCATTCAGCTATGTGGTTGTATAAGAAACTATAATCTGTAGTGTAAAATTATAAACATTGTATTTTGCATATTTTTATTATAAGCTGTCCTTGACTATATATATTATGCTTTTATGCAGATATATAGATCAGTATATGCAAAGCCATATGGACTATATGTTGTAATCAATTCAAGGGATTTTTAAGGGTAATTTTGAGTATATTCTATTTTGCCTAATATGCTGACTTTCGAGTCTAACCCCGTGTCGCCGGTGACTCCCCCGTATCTAACAGGACACCATACTGAGTGTAATCAAGAACCGCCATGTACATGTGGTGACATTTAGGTAGAGACATTGAGTATTAGGGTTTTTATTATAATTTACCTACAAATTACTGGTGCTTTACGTGTACTTTCTTTTAAAATTCTCACATCCCCAGCCCTACCCCTTTTTCCACCCAAAAAAAAGTGGAAACTGCAAGAGGCAGGGCTGGGCTTCAGACCCAGGTATGTCTGGGCTTCAGGGCCCAGGTATGTCTGACTATAAGTTCATGCCTTTGCACTACACTACCATGCAGGCCTTGGGTTTCAGGGAAGGCTTCATAAAGGAGTGGGGCTCGAGATGGACCTGGAGAGACGGGGAGGGTCAAGAAGGGAGAGGAGCTGGTGGAGAGGCATTTATAAGTCAGCTCTGGTGGCGAGGAGGGCAGAGCACTGTGGGAAGATCAGCCTGCGAGAGAGAGAGCCAGGTGGGCTGGGGAGAAGGAGACAAAAGTGAAGGTGAAGTGTAAGGAAGGGCCCAGTTGTAGCTATCCTGGGAGGCAGGCTGAGGGGCCGGAGGGTGGTCTGGCTGGCTGTGGGGGGGACTCCAAGAACCACAGGTTAAGCTCATTAAAGACATAGACCAGGCCCTGAGACAGCACCGACCTCTGAGCAGCAGAGGGACTGGTTGTGGTTGTGTGTGAGGCTGAGCATGTTGTCAGCGCCTCAGGTTTCCCTCCTGAGGGAATGAAGAGGTCTGCTCTTTCCACTCAGGAAATGAAGCTGATTTGCGATGATCCCCATCAGTAGCACCAGTCGTCTCAGAGACAGAACCAACAGGATGTGGTCATCTGAGTAGAAAAGAGGAGTGGATGGGCACATGGTTAATAGTGATTCAGAACGAGACTGTGTGGATCCAGTGACACCTCAGTCACCCAGAAGCCATCTTCTGGAGCACTGCTGAATGGCAGGTGGGCTTAAGAAGGCCCTGGAGTTGCCAAAATAGCAGACACCAAGTCTGCGTGTGAACACCCAGGTCCTTCACTCACGGGAGAGGCTGCCATCTTGCTGACATCCCACTTGGCCTGCTCTGGACTATGTTCTCTCAGGCTTGATTACCTGGGTTTCTAACCTTTGGCAGAAACAGCACAGTATAGGAAGTGAGACTGCGGGAGACAAGGCATGCTGACAGGCAGCGTGACAGCTGACGGACAGAGGTAGGGGACAAAAGAACTAAAAGGCAGATATACGGACACAAGGCGTGTCTGGCCTTCCTAACGTGGGCATGTAGCAAGGGTACGTGTTGACCGTGATGTCTGGATGGGGCTGGTGTCCTCAGAGAGTGGCTGGAGGCCTTGCGGGGGGCGCGAGGTAGGGGGGCCAGAAGCCAGGCTGGGAAGTCAGGAGTCGTCACAGTGGGGACGGCGTGCCCTTCAGCACAGGATGGAGTGGAATCACGGCTGGGCTCAAGAGGGGAAGCTCAGTTCGAGATGACTTCAGAGCGTTTTACTAAAGAGAGTCTATCAAATGTTGTTTTTGTGATTGTAAATAGTAAATGTATTTAGAAAACTACTCAAGATAGAAAGCATTTTGTTCCTTCAAGGGAGTAGGCTTCAGATACCTAGAAATTTTGCTTATGGTGTATCCCCCCCCCGCCCCCGCCAATGATCACAGATAGGTAATAGTTAAAACGTACTGAAAACTATTGTGCTGGATACTCTTCTCAGAGCTTCGCAAGTTCTAATGTATTTAACCCCTACAGCAACCCTGTGTGGTGGGTGCTATCACTTTCCCCACTTTACAGGTGAGGAAGTTGAACCACAGGGTTAAGTTGTATAGTTTAGTGTACGGAAGAGCCGGGAATGAACCGGGCAGCCGGCCCCTGGAAGTCTCACTGACTTAGCCGTGGTGCGCCATGAACGCGTCATTTAGAGCAGTGATTCTCAGAATCACCTGGGGCAGCGGTGCCCAACCTTTCTGGCACCAGGGACCTGTTTCGTGGAAGACAGTTTTTCCAACTGCGGTGGGGGCGGGTGAGGAAACAGGAGGCGGAGCTCAGGCAGCAATGCCAGCACATCCACAGACAGGGAGGAAGGAGGCTGGGGACCCCTGGCCTAGAAGCCTGGCCACAACACAGGTGCTGGACCCCTATCCAGAGTTTCTGATTCAGTGCATCTGGGAAGGACCCTCATTTGCATTTCTGTTAAGTTCCTAGGTGATGCTGATGCTGTAGGTCTGGGGACCACACTTTGAGAACCAAAGCCCTTTCATTCCCTGAGATTTCACCAATGTCATGCTAACTGGGTAAAAGAGTGCAGCATAATTCTCATTTTACAGTCACCTGCTCACAGTCACATGGCTAAGTCATTCATTCATTCATTCATTCATTCACTGACCCACTCATTGACTGAACAAAAGGGCACCTCAGCACTAGGCCTTATGTTGGCCTTGGAGTTGCACGGTTCTTAGCCTTGGCTGCTTGTAAGAATCACTGGGGAGGAGGGAGAGCTTTTAAAAAAAAATCCCAGTGCCCATGCCTCCCTCCCAGACTAATTAAATCAGAAACAATGTGTCGGGGGTGGGGGGTGGGGAATCCAGGCATCAGTATTTTTAAAGTTCCACAGGGGATTTCATTGTGCAGCTGAACTGGCACCATTGTGTCAAGAAAGCACTGGAGATACGAAGACCTGTGACACAGCACATGCCCCAGAAGGGGCAGACCGGCTTTCTGGGAAGGCACACCACTCCCTAGAAAGCAGAGACAGGATCCCAGTGTCCTAGTGGCCGTGTGTAGCTGTGCTGGGAGCGAGGGGTGGGTAGGGGGCAGAGCTGAGCCTTGGTCCTTTCCGGCAGCGTCTACCAGCCTTTCCACAGAGAAAGACATACTGCTTACAGGACCCACTGGGCTCACAGGACCCCTGGCTGGGGTGACAGGCCTGGGGTCTCCAGCCACTCTGGTTGGACATTGGCGGGAGATGGCTCTACTCTAGGGCTTCCTTCCCAGTGCCGCCCCCACCCCAATCTTTTTTTTTCCCTTCAGAGGAAGAAGGAGGCTGTGACTGTTTCCTTTCTTCCACAGAGCTGACAGCGTCTGAGACAGCTTCAAAAGACCTGTCTTTTGGCTCCTGCCCACCTGCTCCCAGATCCCATTTCGGCCTCTCTGGTGTCCCCAGCCCAGGTCTGGGCATCACGTGGTGCCAACTGGAGAGCTGGGCTACGGTTTCTCTTGATGAGGAGCCCTGGCTTCTCACTGGCAGCCCTTGCTCATTGGCCAGACACCCAGTTTCCTCTCTTCAAAGCCAAGGCCCACCCACTGCACCCCACTCACCCCACCCTCCTCTGTGCCTGCGCAGTCACTGGCTGTGTGGGGAGAAGGAAGTGTGCACAGCGTGCAGTCGATTCCACGCATGTCTCCGGTGTATTCGTTTCAGCGAGGCAGCAGCCGTGGGCCCCAGACCGATAGCTCGGCTTCCGCTCCCACTGGACTTCACAGGACAGCTGTGCGGCTGCCCTGGGCACCGTGCGCCGAGGGCCGTGTGTTGTTTTAGCAGGGACGTCCCAGGTTGTCTTGCCTCTGCGGCAGTAATCAGATGGCTGGGGTGAGCCTCTGATTTGTGTGTCCTGTGACTGAGTGTCCGCGTGTGCCGGGTGTGCGAGTGTGTGTGTGCGTGAGTGCGTGTACGGGAACGTGCATGTGCTTGCCTTGATCCTAGCCTGTGGGGCCGGGGGCTGCAAGTCTTGAATTCCTGTGCTATTTTTAGGGGCCATATCAGCTCAGCTGTCGGGAGGCTCGGGTGTGTGTCGCTAGGAAAGTCCCACTCTCCCTGTCCCTTGCCCCTTATCCTCCAACACTGCCTGCCTGCCCCCCACCCCATGCCTTTACTCTGAGAGCCTCCTCCTTCCCTTCCACACACGCTGTTATCACCAGCTTCCTCCAGGCGGCATACCTGGTACCCGCAGTCCTCCAGGCCACTCACGCTCTCCGACTGGCTCTGGCCCTCCCGGGTTGGGCAGCTCTTGACGGGAGGGGCCTGGGGAGAGGGAGGGGAACAGGGGCGGGGCTGCAGCCAGTGCTATTTTGAGCTGCTAACGGAGCAGCATCGGAGAAGAGACTCCTTGCTCTGGGCTGCTCCAGGCCAGGCCATGCGGGTGAGTGTCCCTCTGACCCCCACCCCGGAAGTGTCCCAGGCTCCTCTTGCTGTTTCCTCATTTAGGAAAGGAGGGGCCTATTTGATATTTCCCCAGATGTGGTTGAAGGAGGTGAGGAGGGAGGGGAGGGGCAGCCTTGGGTCTCTTCTCTGAGCCTCTTGGTGGGGAGGGAATCACCCAGCCCAGGCCTCCTGGGGCTGACTCAGGACTTTGGGAGCTTCAGACGGGGCACCGTGTTCTAAACCTCAGTGTCCTGGGGCTGCATCGGCTTCCCCACAGTCTGTGACACGCCTTCCCCACAAACCACTAGTGCTTGAGGCTTCATTCCTTGGAACACTATTTTTTTCCAGAATCCAGAACCCCAGTACCTCCCAGGTCTTTGGAAGTCTTGTCCCCTGCTTTGTGTTGCCAGAATAGCCCTGCACCCCCTTCCTTCTGCTAGACAACGGAGAGGGGCCTGGGAGGGGTGGTTCTTGGAGTTGTCAGGGGCCTCCTCTTGCACCGTCCCCGAGAGTGGACTCAGCACTGCCTCCCCCATCTCTGCGGATCGAACACTTGGGACACAGATGGCATCTCAGGGCTGCCCTGATTGGCTGTGGATCTCTTTTGTAGCAGAGGTTACTCTAGAGGAGTAAGTTCCTTTAAAAAGCAAGTGAGGAGAGACATTGCTGCCTCCCAGTCTGTCCTGTTCCCCCACGCCACCAAGGGTAAGGCTTTCAGCTGTGTCAGCAGTTGGCAGAGCGAGTGGGCTGGCCTAGTGCGGAGGTGTGCCGGGAGCCTGAGATGTGGCCATGAGCATTTGTGTCGCTCTTTGCCCAAGGACTGCCCTGCCCCGGCCACAAAACTGGCACCAGGGTGGAGGTATGTGGGCAGGCGGGGTGGGGCCAAAGAGACTCCTCACCCTGAAAGGGTGGTGCTTCCTGGTCTAGCTGAATCCCCACCCCACCCCACCCTGGGCCACCAGCACCAGGTCGCAGATTCGGGGCCATGCATGAAGATGGCCAGGCCGATGGCAAAGTGCCCTGCAGAGAGGCAGTGAGAGTCCCCAGGGAAGAGAGGCCCCCACAGGTCTGGCTGTTAGAGGAGGAAACCCGGGCCTCTGCAACTGCAGTAGCAGCAGCAGGAAGCCATTCCAGTGCACCTGCTTCCTCCCGGCCTGCTGGGGCTGGGCAGCGGCTGCAGGCGCGGGGCTGCTTTCTGTTCCGCCCTGCCCTGCCCTGGGGGCGGGCTCTGGCTGGAGGCCGGACCACAGGGGCCAGGGTGTCCCTGCCCAGTCTTCTCCCTCTCGTCCTCGGCCTGACAGCGTGGCTCGGGCCACTCCCTGCAGGGCCCCCGCTTCTGTCAGACAGCTCGGGGTGAAGTCAACTTGGGTCGTGGGTGGAGGAACAGGTCATCTCTGGAAACCCTGCTTTCTACCCCAGATGTCGTCTGGCAGGTGATGTCATGGAAGGGCAACAGTGCAGGAACCTGGGAGATGGAGGTAGGGCTTGCTTCCACCCCTTAAAGTGAGCCCCGGCAGGTCCTGCTGAAGGACAGACCTGGGTATGTGTCCTAATGTGCCACTTGCTGCCATGAGGCCTTGGGCAAGTCACTGCCGGGCCTCCGTTTGCTCATCTGCAAAGCAGGAATCATACCCGTATGTACTTCAGAGGGATGTCTCGGGGGTTAAACGAGATGATGTATGTAAAGGGGTCAGCACAGTGCCTGGCCCTTAGTACATGTTCAGTACAGGGCACCTGTTATTACTGTCTTATTGTTATTTCTTACCTACACCTTCCTCCTCCCCCGGCCCCAGTCCTTACATAAGTTGGTGCTAGGTTGGGACTGGCAGGGAGAGGGTCACCTGGCACCTACCTCTGCACCTCAGAATGGGATAGGGCAGAGAGGAGGATGCTGTGCCTCTTTCTTCCCAAAATGAGAGGCCCAGAGTGTGTGTGAGTGATGGCAGAGGGGGCGGTGCCAAGTTCTCTGCCTCTAGGCACGCTCTCTCCCAGCACCTGCTGCCCTTGGGAGCTCAGAGTGTGGACATCAGGCTTGGGCATGTGGGCCTCCGTGCGTTTGTCCAGGCTGGGCATTCCATGCCTAAGTGGTATCTGGTGGATGGAATGATTCTCCTGGGGGTATTTGTGCCTGCTGTCCCTCCTGGGAAGGGCTCAGACAGTTGTAAGTTAAGGGCAGATGGTCCTTGGTGGCCACACAGAGTATAAAACCGGCCTGATGCAGCCCCCTGAGTTTTGGAAGCCTTCTGGGGCTGAGCAGGGGTGAGTCCCTCAGCATCTTTCACAGATTTTCTCCTCTTCGAGAACAAATGCTTTTAGCTATTATTTCCTATATTGACTATGTAGTCATCTTTACAATAGAAATAAACAGTAAGTAAACAATACATAAAATAAATACCAAATGTCTCTATTGTGTCTGATTCACACAGTTTACAAGTTACTATGATCACTGTTCTACTTAGGTTCTAGTTTTTTTTAATTGTTATTTTAGGTGACGTTTTCCATATGGTTACATTGCCTACATTTTTGTAAATGTTTTAAGAGAGAGGGAAGGGAGAGGGAAAGAGAGGAAGAGAAACATCAGTGTGTGGTTGTTTCTCACTCGACCCCCACTGGGGACCTGGTTAGCAACCCAGGCATGTGCCCTAGACTGAGAATCAAACCCGTGACCCTTTGATTAGCAAGCTGGCACTCAACCACTGAGCCACACCAGCCAGGGCCATTTTTGCTAGTGTAAATGGCAACATAACAGCACATTGTACCCAAGTGCCATAGTTTACCTAGCCCTTCCTTATCCTGGGCATTTGGGTTGCTTGTAATTTGGGGCTAGTATTTAGAGTACATCTTTAAACGTCTTTGCATGGGTTTGTAGAGGTTTTCTTTTTTCTTTTCTTTCTCCTCCTTTCTTTAAGTCAACTTATTGCCCAAGCATTCCTGAAGATGGGATGGCCAGGCCAGGAGATGATGAATTTTAGGCTGTTGTTGCTCCCAAAGAGCTACTAAGCCTCCCCTCAACTCGATGGCACTGAGTTTACCATCTATTTACTGCTGCTAAGTTTAGAGATTGTACCTCCCCGTTTCTCCCACGTCCCTGGGAGCTGGGATGTGCCAGTGTTATTCTCCATAGTTCCTAGGAAGCCCGTCGCAGCACTGTGGTGCAACAAGTTCCCTCAGTGGGGTGGGTGAGGAGAGTGCTGCCCGTGAGGAAGTCAGAGTCCAGGGGACATTACAGACACACAAACAGCTCCGCAAGGTTTCCATCCTTGTCGCAAATCCCCGTGCTGCCTACCTGCCTGCTCTGGGCCCTCCGCCCCGTGCTCAGCCTCTCCATTCCCTTACCTAGAGAGTGGGTTATTCTGAGGATTAAATGGAGACTGTGTACAGTGCTCACCACTGCACCCGGCTCGTGGTAAGTATTCAGTGAGCGTTGCTTTCTCTTCCCTCCCTCAAGAGAAGATGGGGGTCGTCAGGCCTCCACAAGTGGTGGGATCGTGGTGGGGACTCCCTCTGCAAGTCCAGAAACTTGATCTGGGCACATTGGACACTAGTAAACACTGCCCCGTCATACTTTGGCTTGACCCAGACCTGACCCTTGATGCTAATGCAGAATATTAGCCAGAGTTGGCTACCTAAGGATGACTCAGCCCCTCTGACCCTGCCCAACACAGCAGAAAAGGTGGGCCTCTGTGGGAGCAGCACGGGCTTTGCATTCAGAGTGACTTGGGTTCAAATTCCAGCTCTACCATTTATCAGGTTTGTGACTCAGCCTCTCTCCTTTTCCTCTTCAGTAAAATGGGAGTAATACTAATTCCTGTGTCATGAGGCTGCTGTAAGGTTTAGATTTGAAAATATACTCGCATGTTAAATACATGTACCAGGCCCATCTCACTGTAGGTGTTCCACATTCAGTAATTAATGTCGCTGGGAATGGCTGAGCTCCCCAGAGAGGGAACTGGGCAGGACCAGAGGCCTTGGCTCCCAAGCGCCCTTGCTCCACGGAGCCATCAGCTCCCAGCCCTGGGGGCGACCGCAGCAGAGGCATTGCCACCGTCTTTGGGGCCAAGCTCCTTACCTGTTCTGTATTGGATAAAGACAGGTTATTCTTGATCCTGAGCAAATCTTAGTTAAAATCCAGCGATAAGGAAGAAAGAAATATCCAGGCAGTCCGGCCCAAAAGCCCCAGACAGAACTTCCTTTGAGAAGAACCCCACGCTTGTGTTCAGAGTGAAGTTCATAAGGACAGCTGAGGCAAAGGACTAGGCCCCGGTGTGAATGGCAGTGTTCTTACATCCTGGGGTGGAGGGCTCCTCCCGGACCTGGAGGAAAACTAGAGCAAGAGGTCAAAGAACAAACTGATTAAACAAACTTAAAGTCTCTAGCATAGGAACGGGAGAATAAAATAGAAAAGTCAACAAAGCAAAGTAAAAGCAACTCGCTGAAAACAAAAACTTCTTTAGTTTTTCACTGTTAATTCATTACCAACAATAGTAAGAACGAAACAGTTCTTAAGCCTCACCGAATTTAGTGGTTTCTTCGGATGAAGGCTCTCCTTCGGTGCAGGCAGATTCTGCCTGTTGACTTTCAAGCGGACCAGCTCCGGTTTCCAACCCATGGATGGGGTGGCTTTAAGTTCCCCAGGCCCCTTGTGCCTGGCAGGTCATGGTGTGTGGCAGGTAAAAGGTAAAGTTGCCCGAGTCCTAGAACAGCTTCCTTAATCCCCTCCCAAGTCACAGGCCCGCAACTTGGGTTCACCAAATTAAGGGCTCAAGTGCCTCTCCCCACGCAGGCCCCTAGGGTGCTAAACCTAGAAAGGACCCTAGCCATTATCTACACTAGTCCGCCCTCTGCTTCTACAGAGAGGCTCCGAGAGGGGTGGCTTATTTAAGGGCACACAGAATCCAGGAACGGGAGGTCCTGCATTCTGTACCCCACTTTGCCTCCTCGTTCCTCTAACACTGCATACATACCCGTCTCTGGCCTTTTGAGCTTTGTAATCCTTCCCCCTCCACTCCACCCCCTTCTCCCTCTGTTGCCCACAGTGTCTGTCCTGGCGGACCCTGGCCTTTGGGAAAACTCCGAGTCCCTGAGAGACCCTGCCCACCCATTTCTCCTTTGACCCAGGGCGCAGGCTACTTTCGGCGCCATGGCCTTTTCATCAAGATTTGCCTTCTGGGAGCAAAAGGAAAGTTGGATTTCAAAACCTTTATGCTTTTCCGATGTGCTTGGCATGGTGTGTGCAGGCAGGAGACCGGCTTGTGAGAGAGGGCTTTGGAAACCAGAGCAGGACCGGGGCATGGGTGCATATTGGGGGTTGGAGAAGACTAACCAGGGGGCCAGTGGACTCTTCTGTCTGTCTGGGCCCCTGCGCTGAGTCATGCTCCTCCCTGAGCTCCACCTAGAAAGCTGAGCTGCTGTTTGTCCCACTGGTGCCCCTCCAAGTTAACCCCTCCACACTTCCCCATGCCCCTGCTGCTCCGACTCACCCCGGGAATGTGGGCCGCTGTGGAGGGGCCGCTGGCAATGCATTTGGCTCTGAGGCCTGGGAACTGAGTCTCCCCCAGTCTGGGGGTTGTGGAGGGCAGGAGGAAAGGGAGCCAGGCTTTCTGGCTGCCCAGGTCCAGAGGGTGATTCAGGCTGCAGACCCGGGCATGCCTTTGTGCTGTGCATAGTCCCCAGCTGGGCAATGACCTGCAACAGAGCCCTTTGGGTGGGGGAGGGGAGCAGTGAGTCAGCCTCAGGCTAAATCTGGAGCTGAGCTCAGAGCTGAGCCTAGTGTCTCAAACATTTGGGGGGATAGCCATTGGTTCCCCAGCCCCTTGCCACTTGGGTAAGATGCTTGGGGTCCCAAGCTTGAGCCATTGGAGGGAGGAGCTGGTAAAGGATGCGGAGTGGACTTGGAATCGGGGCCATGCCTGTGCCTGAGCTAACAGCACTGCGAGCAGTAATCACTGTGCCTGGGTGGTTCGTGAGCACTTGTTCCCCCTCTAACCCGTGTGCCCCTCCTCTAACCTGCAAACTAGAGCCAGTGCACGGTATGGTCTCTGGGGGTGGGGATGGGGTGAGGGATGGGCACCGCGGGAGGTGGGGGGGGCAGCAGGTGTAGACCTAGATTCTGCTACTCCTCTTCATTCCCTCTCCACCAGCCCCTTGCTTCCCTTTCTCTGCTCCAATCCCAGTTTCTAAAGTAGTAGAGTCCATGCTGACGAAGAATTACTGTCTCTGGCAGCGCGGACTAACTTTGAAGCTTGAGCCCATTGAAAAGAGTTCTGTGGGCAAGATGCAGCTTTAAAAGTACCTTGGCCATCATGCTGGTCAGTGCCCCAGGCACTGCTAATTAGAGTTCAAAATTAGCCTGGAAGCTGGTTACAAACAGAGAGTCCTCCCCAGGTGGATAATTAACAGGACCCTGGAAGAGTTTCTGAGGATCTTTTCCGTTAGGAATCAAGGACTCCTCTTACCACATTGTGCTGGGAAAGAAAGGCATGCTGAGGTACCGGGTGGGGTCAGACTGGTAACAGACCCGTCTTTCTCTATAGTCCAAAGTGAGTAAAGATGAGAAATGAAATCCACTAGGACTGCTGAGCTTGTGGAGGGAGAGATGTAAGTGAGGCACAGGGGAGCAGGTCCCCCCCAGCCTGGAGGCCTGGCCGCTCCGGGTGTGTTCTGGGCCAGCCTCTGAACAGAAAGAACCTCCAGAGCGTCCATATTGCCTGTCCTTTTTCCCGGATCGTTATGGCATCTGCTGCTGGCCCCTGACTCTGCTTTTCTCCTCTGACTTGGGCCAGCCAGCCCCTGGACTGAGTACAAATCCCTGGTCAGAGCAGCCAGAGCTCAGGCGTCTGTCCTGCCTCCGCCCCCCACCCCCAGCCTTGGGGTTCCCTCTCTCAGCTGCATGGTTGACAGTTTGTGGGTCTGAGGTTGGGGAGATATCTGGCCTCCTGAAACCCTGCCTCTGCCACGCTCTCTGCCTCCAGCCAGAGCCCAGCCATCTGGTTGAGAAGGCCTCGGGCTCTGTGCTGTGGGAAATCGTGTGGAGCCCAGAAGGAAGCCGGAGCCAGCCCGGTGGAGCCGCCCATTCGCCTACACTGAGCTCTGCAGGCCCCTGCAGGCCCCCACACGGGGCAATTCCCCCTCCTCAGCCACTAGGTCAGGGGGCCCCTGTCCAGACCCCTTCTCATCTGAGCTGGAATGACTCTGGTAGTTCAGCCTGAGCTGAATAAACTGCATCTCTCTATCCACACTGCCTCCAAGGCCAGGGTGCTGCTTTCATGGGCAGACCTCGTTAGACTGCCCCAGTGGGCCACGTGGCTGGTCTCTGGGGGCAGAGGCCCTTGGCTTTGGCCCTCACAGAGACTCTTCATTTCTGATGTTGTCACAGGACAGTTTTGACCCCAGTGTATCTGCTGCCCAGGTCTGTAGCCCCAGTTCCCCTGGCCGTGGGATGCTTATCTTCTGTGCTTCTCTTGCTGGGCCCCCAGCCCTGACCTGCCAGTGACTGCTCTGTCTGCTCCTTCAGGTGAAAGAGGAGGACAAAACTCTGCCGAAGCCTGGCCCTCCTGGCAAGGAGGAAGGGGCTGTAAGTGCTTTCTCCAAGCCCCCTGTGCAAGGGTGTGCCCACCATAGCCTAGCCTGGGAGGCTGCTGCACGCAGCAGGCAGGCGTGGCACGGTGCCCCTTCTGTGTGGGTGCCCGGAGGGAATACCAGGAGGGGCTGAACGCACCGCCTGCGCGATGCTAACCTGGGGCGGGTGAAGCAGAAGGGAATGCCAAGGCACTGTGGAGACCCTCCCCCACACCCGGTCAGTCCCTGCCTTTAGTTCTGCTTTCCTGAACCTCTGGGGCTGGAGAGGCCTTAGGTGGGCAAACCCTTAGGTCGGGAGTACCAGATGAGCAGCTGCTGGGACTCCTCATCCTGCACTGGGTGGCACCAGACAAGGGCAGGGAGGCGCTGCAGCTGCTGCTGTCTCTCCCTAAGACCCCGTCAGCTGCTTGGTGTGGGTGACCTGGAAGTAGGCCCCAGCTGCCCGGTGCCCCAAGCCAGCCCCTACCCGGCCCCTACCCCAGTCGTTCTGCCCTCAGATAGAGGCCCTGAACAAAGGACTCTTTTAAGGCAAGAGAAGAGAGACCGTTCCAGAAGAGGTAGGCCTAGGGATGTGTAGTTGGGAGAGGGCTGCCGTCAGCGCAGGGGGCGGCAGTGCCCAGGGCTCTGGAGCAGCGCCGGGCTGCAGAACAGATCTATGCTTCATCGCCGCAGACGGTGCCTGCCCGGCTCCCCCACTTCCTTGGACCGAGACTCAATTAGCCAGACATTGTGGCTTCTGCCTGATCTGTAAACAATCCTGCAAGGCAGCCTGTGATTGCAGAGGTACATGTTCGAGACGTGGGCAGCAGGGGTCTTGGAGTATGCCAGGTTTTTTGTGAAAATTCCATGTAAGGTGCTTAGAAGACTGCCTAGCATATAATCAGCACTGTATGATGGGTAGCAGTTGTTTTCATCATCGTTGTCATCATCGTCTGCAGTTGGAGGGGACAGGAGGAATGCCAGAAAGGGGGGGAGTAGGACCCGGCAGCTAGGGCCACCAGCCAGCTCTGCAGTGCCCTGGCAGGACACAGAGCACTCTTGGTCCAAGAGGTTGAGGATGAGTACCTTCAAGCCCTCCCCTCCCCTCCGCTGCAGCAGGGCCACGATGCAGCTGAGGCCTGGGCTGAGGCCATTTGGCTCAGCTCCGCTCAGGACGTGGGGCAACCTCTCCACATACTGGCCACTCCATGAGCATCTTCCTACATCCAAGCAGAGATGGCAGCCAGCCCCTCCCGGAGCCCAAGTGTACCCTTGAACCAAGGTCATTGTTTTGAGGAACAAGGGCTCAAGCATGGTTCATTAGCGGCAGCTCTTTGCCTGACCAACACGGAGCCCCTAGGTTGCTCCCCCAGGCAATGCGGCTAGCATTGCAGGAAGCTCTGCCCTGCCTCTAGCCAGCCTGGCCTTCCCAGCGGCAGGCTCTTGGGTCCACAGACAGTTCCCACCAATGGGGAAGGGTAGGTGAACCATGGGGAGTGTGCAGGTACCCCATTCAGTTCCTGGGTGCCCAGATGCTGAGAGGCTGCCTGAGGCAGGGCCCCAGCTCTAGGGCAGAGTGGAGCTGTGGTAGCTTGAGTGCTTAACCCTTTGTGGGCCACAGCTGCCTTCTCTTCCTCCCATATTCCACACACACACTGTGGGAGCCAGGCAGCCTCCAGCCCTTGAGGGGTTTGCAGGAGGAAAACTGCAGAGGGACCGACAGGAGCAGGCTGAGCTGGAAGCTTCCTAGGCTAGCACTGGGTTTCTGCAGTCCTGGAGAATGTGGGTGGAGAGGGGACAGTGGCCTGTGACCAGAGGAGCGGGCAGGGAGGAGGCCTGGCATGTTGGAGGGCCAGGAGTTGCTCCCTGACCACTGTTTTCGTCAGGAGGAGCAGACTCTGGGTCTGACCGCCCAGCAGACAGTGTGATGGAGGGATCACAAAGGCAGGAAGGCCCAGACTGAGGCCTAGGAATTGGTTGTTTGACCTCTCCGTGCTTCGCCTCTGCTGTGTTTGGGCTGTGAGGGCGTGGGCTCACCTGGACTGAGGCTCAGTCGCTGCCCTGACAGAAAGCCA